CGTCTTCTTCTTAGAACTTACAATCTAGCCATAAAACTTTTCTATTGACTATCCTAGAAGCCTAGTTATGGGATCCACCCGTTTTAGAATTTCAAACCACATCTTAACTCTTTTTGCAGTCTCACATGGATGGTCATAAACCTCCAACACTTGGGTGGTTGAGATCAACGTGTGAAAATTCAAAAGTGAGTTCCTATAGAATCATGAGGCATTAGGAACACCCTTTTTGACCTTGGGTGGCTTGGGCACCTCACACTCACTCCACTTCACATAAACACTTCCCCTCACCAAATTTGCTCCAAACTTCCCAAAGTATTAGCCTATTCTCATCAATTTTCAAATCCAATTCCCATGGACTCCAAATTGACAAATTCACAACAATTTACATCAAATCCTACCCAAAATCCAAAGTCAAATCCAACCACACCAATTTTCAAGCCCAAATCCAAAATTGCCTAAGTCAAAATTCAAATTCACTTTGAAAATCAGATCTAACTCTACCAAATTTCAAGTCTCAATTCAAAATCACCAAAATTCAGACCCAAATTCACATCAAATTCCACACAAATCCAAGGTTACCCAATTTACGTTCCAAATTTCTCTCATGGCAATCCCTAAAAATTTACCAATTGCCTTGTGTCATGTCTATATAAGGTGAATTAAAGTGGAAAAGGGGTTTAGGTTACGTTCGAGCTTGATTTGGGCTAAATTCAAGCCAATAACAACACAGTAACTCCCAAATAACATCACTTTAAAACCGTGGTCCCTTGTCAATAACACTGAAGACGCAATCTCGCAATAACACCGTCACAACCCCTCTAATAACACCGCATAAACGCCACAATAACACCGTCACAAACTCCCCAATAACACCACTTCAGAAATGCCGCACAGCCCTGCAATGGCACCATCGTAAACTCCCAATATCACTGCAATACTACCGCAGTTCTACCCTAATAATACTGCCGCCACATAACCCCACAACACCCCGCGGTACAACGCCAATAACACCATAATACAGTCGCAATATAACCACAATAATATCTCCACCTCAATGACCCGCGATGACACTACGGTGCAACACAATACACCGACAATAACATAATATTTTTTTTCAATTCCTTGTTGATACCACCTCCAAATTGTCGTGATACCACACCAATAGCACCACCTCTGCATTCCTTGGCCAATAACACCTCAATAATTTGATGAATAATCCCACGAATAACACCACTGACCCGGTTCTATTCTGATACTACCCAATAAAACCTGGATAAGACCAAACTAACATCATCCAAAATGCTTTTTTTTCCTCAAATTTCTCCCCATAATAACCCCTAAACCCTGCAAGCCTTGTACAACTAAATTCCTCCAAGTGGTAAATGAAGGAATTCCTTTCCACTCTTGGCCAAAAGCACCTAACTTCATTTATGTTTCACTTAAACCAAAATAAAATAAAAATAATCCCTAATCCCTTTGATAAGGACTTTTCCACCCTCTTCCCCAAGCTAGCAACCAACCACAGTAACCTTAGAGACCACCCAAACATGCTTCCATGACTTCAGCCCAAGTCAAACTCAAAATTACCCCAAACCCTTTCCATTTAAATGAAATCCTTGGACATTTGGCACAAAGCAAATGATTTCACAATCTTCACTCATCTTGAAAACAACTTCATATACCCTAGCTTGACCCCTTGACCACCCCTTTGGCCACTCCTTTGGCCTATCAAATGGCCACTTTCACGGACAAAAATGAGAAGCACACCAAAACCCTAGGCGAAGCAATGCCAAAATTTCTTCAGATCATCCTAAATCCTTGTTCAGTAAATTCTCAGCATCCTTGGCCATTCCAATCCACAAGAAAACTCTAATTTGGAAGCCTAAAATCAGAACATTTTTTGGTCATCAAACTAACTCCATCAAAATTCCAAATCAATTGTTCCAAAAGCTTCACCACTTTGCAAAACCTCATTCCCCATCAAAATTTACCTTCCCTGCAGCCTCTAACCTAATCGTAGGCCAAACCCGAGCCACTTTTGGTCGAGTTCATACTTGGACCTGTTCTCAGAGGAAACCATCACTTGTAGGAGGTTCGTGGGATTCAGGCAAAGCTTCTACAACCACTCAATTGAGGTCTCACCTCTTCGGCAAAGGTATAGCTTCAAAACTCCATTTTTTTGCTTCGATTTGGACCTTTGTGAAGAGCATGAACATTCCATACTTGGTCATATAAATATGTTCTCTTCACTTAATTGAAGCCACTGTCAAGTAATGCACTTAACTCTCGAGATGGTGTATTACTTATGGTATTGTGTTCAATTATTTAAACTATTATATATAGGAGATCTATTTGGTCTCGTTCTTAAAAATTGAAATATTATAACCTACATTTTTATATGTCATTGTATGTTGAACGTTTATTGCAGTTGGCGTCTTCAAAAATTATGCAAACTATACTTAATACAAAATTGACAGCGCTTATCGATATAGTGCAATAGGGATCGCCATTTTTGCATGTGGAAGAAGTTCATGTGCATGTTTCATATGTTCCCATTGGGTGCTTGGTCACTCTCGTGGACTCATTCTCAGACTATTTCGGTTTTTTCGAATATGAGCCGAACACGAACAAATTTTTAAGCTCGAAATGTAAACGACCCGATCACGAACAACAATTTGTTCGCTCGTGTTCTGCTCGAAATGACTCGAAAAAAAAATTATATAACTTTTTATATAACAATATATTACATATATTATTTATATAATAATATATTATATATATTTATGTCTATGTTTAAATCCTAACACCTCATGTGACAATGTGGTTATTGTCTTCTTTTGTATAAATTTGACCCAGGTTCGAATCCCACACTTTACATATATTTTTCTCAATTTTGGTTTAACGAGCCAATTTCGAGTCGAACACGAGCCGAACACGAACGCAAATATTTAAATAGAGCCGAACACGAACACACTGTTCACGAGCTGATTTCGAACACGAGCTATTTCGACCATTCTACGACATAATAGATCCGACCATTCTACGACATAATAAAAATAAGGGGCATTTACATATATAGCATCCAATTCTTATGTGGGAAGATAATCACGGGATTCGAAAAAGTCGAAACGATAAATTTAAGTACATAAACAAAAATTAATCAACCAGAAAAGCACACAAGAATTTGACATGGCAAAACCCGAGAACAGAAAAAAATCACGGGGCCATACCATCACAAATTTACTATAAAAATCAGATAGTTTTACAAAAAAACTCACACAAGTTTCTTATCCACGCTCACACAAAGAAACTTACATGACACTCCATAATCTTTCTTCTCCTATCCGACGCGAATAGCACATGCCGAGATCCCATAAATTCTTTTCTTCAACTTTTCTCGCTTCACTATGAACGTGCTGAAGAATACATGAAGAAGTCTTACTTACACTCAGCACCTCACCAAAAAAGGTTGATTAATGTCACAGAAAGAAAATTACATTTGATAAGAACTAATCCAAAAGACCAAAGAAAAAATTTTCAAGTCAAAAAAAAAAAAGAATGATCATTGTGACTTCTAATACATAGAAGAATATTATGAGTTCACCAAGCCAGATATCGCACACTACACATAGAAAAAATCGCACGATACCGATGTTGACACACCCAACACTTGAAATCCCGCTAGCCACCGAAGAGAGAGTGAGAAGCGAGAGCCTGGAGAGGCTGATGCTGATGAGAGAGAGAGAGAGAGCTCCTTTGCAGGAGAATAGAGATGAGAGAGGAAGATAGCGAAACGTTACGACTTCATGCGGTGCTTGAGTGTGGTGTGTGGAATAGGAATTAGGAATATATGATACAATGCTTCAAAGTTGAGGGTCGGCTTTGGTTATTCGTGATTCAAGCAAGATCCATCGTCGATCTCACGCAAAAGCGACATCAACGCTTCAAGGCTTCGATCTAATTTATAAATCGATCTGATTTATATCTGAGTTGAGTCCAGATAGAAATCAAATTGAAATAAATTTGATCTTTTCATTTTGCTCGTAGCTCGGCTCAAATATTTTGAGGCTATTTCCATCCGAGGTAAATTTTGATTCAATTTTCGAGCTATTTATGATCTTTAAGCCAATTTCACAGCCCTAGCTAGGATGCCATAACACACACTATGATTCTTCAACTCTTTATTGCAAGAAGCAGTGGTGGCCGATGGTGATCGACGGTTGCTTGTGAGCAGAGATCGATAGCGTTCGACAACTGTAAAAGTAGGAAACATTCATAAGATCATTAATGCACAATGCTGTACTTCACCTCATTCCTCTCCAAGCCTCAGTCTTTCTCTAACTCAAGTGCTAATCTTTCGTTCTCCTTCATGAGGGTACGACACTATTTATAAAATCTAGAAAAGACCTCCCGCAAATAAGAAAATAATCTTATTTATAAATCGATCTGATTTATATCTGAGTTGCCACCAACTCCTCGTCGGCGAAGCCTCTCCTGACGCCTCCTCTCCTCCGTGCCTTCCTCTCCTCCGTGCCTTAGCGCGTGCCTTAGCGCTCCGAGGGTTTTCATGCAATATCCTTGGTTTTCTTCTTCTCTCGGCCAACCGCATGCACACCCTGTTCTTCCACGCCGGAGACGTCTTGCCAGACTTCATTGACGTATTGCAATTTTAGCATCTTCTTTTCCGAATTCCCTTTTCAATTTTCTTGTAAATTGAAAATATGCGATTTGTTTTCGCTCTTTTTGAGTGTGAAAGCGAAATCATCAATTTTGGAGGAGTTTTGAGAAGGTTTATAGTGTATAAAGTTGATGTTCTTTTGTTACTTCATCCATCTATATTCTATTTTTAGCAAACTTCTTTACTTTCAAAATATGGATTCTTTCCTCAAGCAACCAATTGAGCCCTTGAAGTAGCTTCCATACTGCTTGATGCAATTGTTTGCTTTTTTCGTGATAGCTGAAACATGTGAAATTGGTCCATGAACTCTTTATTCAACGACTTTTAATGCTTTTGACATTCTGCCTTCTCATTCTTTGCTAATACGGTGAAGGGTGAAAGAGAAAGGAATGTTATAGAATGCTAAGCTTATTAATGTTAAGAATATCATTCTTTCTTTTTAATTTATATGTATTTGTGATTACAGATTTCAAAAAAGGGTTACAAGTGAGCATAGGATGGATACAACTAGCTCAAAGAATGGTGTGATTTTCAGATATTTTACTCGGTATATATTGCTGAGTTCTTATGCTGTTCTAAATTGAGTGATTTCAGTTTTATAGCAAGGAAAGAAGGGAGTGAAGAAAGAAACTGGACTTGGTCTAACATATAAAAAGGATGAAAATTTTGGAGAATGGTACTCTGAGGTTAGTGTTATGGATGATTTAGGATTTTTATTTTATTTACATTATTGAAATATTCTCTCATGTCGGTTGGCACTTTAGGTTGTTGTTAATAGTAAATGATTGAATACTATGATATATCCGGCTTTTACATTTTGCTACCTTGGATGATGGCAATCTTGGAAACCTTACTTGTAAGTTTTTGCTCTAGGTATCTTGGATTATTTTTTTTAATTTAAGTAAACTGTTACTCAAGTTATTGCACTTATTTTTTAAATTATAGATGCATTGTTCTTAGATATTTTTTGTTAGCTTTAGGGTTAGTAATCATCATGCTTTTTATATTTATCTACATTTTACTTGAACAAAAGATGCATTGTCTATGGTTCTGAAGCTTTAAAAGTTATTGAAAATAGCTCTATTTATTAAGGTTTGTGTGGTTCTAATAACTATCACCATCTTTTTCTTTCCCTTCTTTTAAGGACAACTCCTTATTTGTTTGATTTTAACCGATTCACTGATTTAAATTTTGCAGGCATTTTTTGATGTAGAGATAAAAAAGCTTGATGTAGAAAGTGCATGATTTCTTCTATTGGTAACAAAGAATGTTTTGCAAAAAAGAGAAGGATCATATTGAAGGTTTCGCTACGGAGGTGCGAGTCTGTTTAACATATTTTATGTATTTATTATATTTTGGTGCTCTCTACCTTTTTTTTTAATTCAGATTTACCGTGTTATAAATCTGGTAAGCTCATGCTTTGCACATTAGAAATTCTAAAAAAGTTATTTTCTGGAAGATCTACTCGACAACATATTTTGAATCTCACCTGAGAGTTACTAGCTTTCATGTGAAGAAACCCTTGAACAGGTGCTTATATTGAGCTGCCTAAGTTGTTCCTCACTAAAGCCCTATTCATGTTGCAAATGTTGTTTCAAACTAATGTTGACTAAGGGACTCTTTGGAATGCAATCTATTGAAATCTTGTTTATTTGAAATATTTTGAAGTTGTTTGGTTGATTGTAAAATTAATACAGGAGTTTAATTTTTTTAATTTAGTTTGAAGAAAAATGAATTCGATGTCAAAACACGGTCGATAGTAGTGGCAAGCAGTAACAGGAAGCGGTTGGCATGGGGAGCAGTTGGCTGCAGTAGTGGGGTAGCACCAAAGGATTGCGAGGTGTGGTGGGCAGTGAGATGCTGATGACCGATGGTCGGCAGCTGCAGTTTATAGTATATTTGAA